TAAAATATATACAATATAATATAATATAAGTACTTATATTTTAAAATATATACAATATAATATAAGTACTTATATTATAAATTAAATACAATATAATATAATATAAGTACTTATATTATAAAATATATACAATATAATATAATATAAGTACTTATATTATAAAATATATACAGTATAATATAATATATGTATTTATATTTTAAAATATATACAATATAATATAATATAAGTACTTATATTTTAAAATATATACAATATAATGTAATATAAGTACTTGTATTTTAAAATATATACAATATAATATAATATAAGTATTTATATTATAAAATATATACAATATAATATAATGTATATAATATATAGTATAAATATGTATAAAATATCTGCTTAACTAGTCAGCCGTTCTCGACGAGTATACTCGTCGCAAACGTGTGTTTCTCAATTAATGCGTGTACCGTTGTTCGGCAGCAATTTAAAAACAAAACTGTTGCTCGCGCTCGCCGAGCGTGATCGCAACGACGCGACGGTACCAATTGTTTTCCGCGTGTTCCCCAGTCGATTGCAATTATCATGCGGCCGATGATAAAGTTCCACGGAACGGACAAACAAACGGCGTCACGGGAGAGGGGCAGATACAGTTATCCCACTCTGTTCCTAACGAAGACGACAGCGATTCCGCTCCGGAGCGCTCGAACCCGCGCTGCTGAACGGCCCTGACCTTACGGAAGCCGGTTCGTTGAACTGTTCAACAGAGAGTTGTCAATTGGACGCACGATTGCATCAAACGTGCTGTCGTCACGCGGATTTGCTTTTTTCAACGGGGCGAGAGCGGGTGTTCGAGTTCCCGTCGTCCCTTGACACGTTCGCTTTATCGAGTGCCTTCGAGTTCACTCGAAACTCGAAACTCCATATCGCGTTCCCCGCGTTCCGGTTTTCTGTACCGAAGAAAACCGAGGTCGCTCTTTCCCACTTTTTCCTCCGCCATTTTCTCCCGCTCCGTCTTCGCCCTTGAGTCCGGACACGTTCCTTTGAAATTAACGCGTCCCCCGCGCCTTTCCGCGCGCGGACAACCGTTTCCGCGCGGGGACGCGACGGCTCTCAGATTTCAATGAAATTCGTCCGAAACGCCTTCTTCTTGCACGCCAACAACAATTCGCAGAAATTTCCTCGCAATTTTGCAGAACGTTTCTGAGAACGAAAGGGAATTTAGTTTTCGAGCAATTGAACAGCTTTGACCGCCGCGCCAAGAAGCTTGAAAGTCTCATAAAATCAGAGAATTTTATCGAATTAAAATATATTAAAAAATATATTATATATAATGTGGCAAAAATCAACTTTTAAATTTGTCGAGAAAAAATTATGTCGGCCATATACGGTAATGTCTCCCTTACTGACGCTCAGATTGTGCAGAAAAATGAACAATTCGGGAAGAGGAGACAGGATTGTTCGAGCCTTGCAGCTCGTTTCTATGGTCGTTGACAATTCGTACCATAGATTGGAGAACGTGCAAGGGTTACTATAAACTGCTGTAACTTTGCGAGAAAAAATCGCAGCCGAATTTCTTTTTTTTTAAATTAAAGGGGAAAGATCGAACTTCGTTCTGCCGTGAACGGCATCTCGGACAAAAATTGTCCAAAGTCCGTGCGATTCGTCGAACTCGACGATACGACGTATGACGTACGACGAACATGGCCTCGCATTTAAAGGGTTACAGTGGCGAGGTTGCGTGGAACTTAAAATACAGATACACTGTC